TGGCACAGAAGCAACCTGGGCCTATGTGGGAGTTGGTGTTGAACCTGAAACTGCTCATTCACGAAGTGGGGAGCAGAGAGTGGGGAGCTAGCTCTCCCACCACCACGCAGGCTGGGGCCACCCCACCACAGCACAGAACAGCACAGCACAGCACAGCACAGCGCTGCTTCTGCAAAAACGAGTTTCGGATTGGCCAAGCCCTCCTGGCCCGTCCTGTGCAGGGGAGCTGCTGCCTAAGAGGTCCTGGCTGGAAGCCTGGTGTGAGGTTCTCATCCATCCATCCTGTAGCCTGCTGGGCAGGGCGTGGTGCCTCCTCTTCCAAGACATGGTGCATGTCTGTCTCCAGAAGCGTCAGTCTTAGAAACTTGTGCACAGAAGTAAAGTCTTGGTCAGTGTGAACCTTTGGATGATGAATGGGAGTCTGGAGCCAAGTACTATTCCTCCCATTTTTCTTACACGTGAAAGCGGATAAGAGAATGTAGATAAAAAACTCCCTGGGTAACCTACCTTGCATTTCAGTCCTTGGGTTTGAATGCAATTTATAATTTGTGTATGTGTGTGTAATGTTTAATGGCCCAAGCAACAAAGTATGCTATATTTCCAGAATGCCACCTGGGGATAGACAAAGTTGGCCTTGTACCCAGTGCATTTTCTTAAACCTCCACTTAGGACACCATTACTTGGATGATTTGGTTTGGACCAGGCACTGTACTGGGGCCTTACTGTCCCCTCTCTCATTCCATCCTCCCGCAGGCCTAGGTGGTCGGGTGCCTGTTTCCCAGGAGAGAAGAGAGACACTCACAAAGGGTAGGGGACAGCCCAAGGTCATCACACTAGGAAGATCAAAGTCAAAGCTGTCACGGCCATAGGCCCTCCTTTTAACCTGGTTTTCTCAGGGAAGCAGGGGAGATAATTTAGCTTTAGGGGACATTTTTGGGTTTGGGGATGCTACTAGATTCTAGAGGCCAGGGATGCAGCTAAACATCCTGCAATGCACAGCATGATCCTGCAACAAAGAACCACCCAGCCCCAAACATCAGTCATGCAGAGATTGAAAAATGCTGCTTTTCACCTACATGACTGAAAACCACCTTTTCTTCTCCCTTCTTCTCCCCTCTCCTTCTCCTCCCACCCCCCCTGCCCAGAATCCCCCCTTGAGCTAGAGATGAGGAGGGGGGAGTCCTTTCTCTGGCTTGATTTTGACTCAAAGGGTGTGGAGTCAGTGTTACTTTAGCTCTGAATTTACTTCTTCAATCCTGGAGAAAGTAAAGCGTGTTGGAGAAATATCTTGAGAACGGGTGTTTAAAGAAAGGAAAAGACACTGGTTTTTGTTGAGGACATGTGTGCCGGTGCTGGGTTAGACTCCTTTAAATCCATTAGGTTAGGTATCCTTCCAAGCAGTCCTAGGCTTGAGGGACATCCATGTTTTCCCTGACTCCCCGTTCAAACCAGGAAGAAATAAGTTAACATACTCCAAGTCATCTGGCTCAGGATGGAGCCCGGATTCTAACCCAGGCTTCAAAGATCCCAAGTCTCCACCTCACATCCTTAATGCTTTGCTTTTTTTTTTTTGTTTGTTTGTTTGTTTGTTTGTTTGTTTTTAAATTTTTCTTTTGGTAGGAAACAATAAAAGCTATGCTGAACGTAAAGTAGGAAGCTTAAAGAAGGGCATTAAAGGATTCCCCCTACTTTTAAATGAAAAACATTGCTTTTCATATCCCATAAAGTGGTCACAAGGTACGTTAGAAATTCTGCATTAGTATATGGGAGCGTGGGCGAGTTGGTTATAATAATGCTTCTTAAAAATAATAAATTTCAAGGCACATTTATTATCCATGATCTCATTTGATCTCCACAACAGTCCTCGGAGTTGTTGGGGTGCAAATGCCCTCATTTTACACCTGAAGGATTGTGCCCAGGGGCAATGGGGGGAGGAAGGGGGACACAGAGTAGGGCTTAGGGAAAGGCCTTCAGCTGTGTGAGCCTGGGGCCTCCTGTGTCCACCCCAGGGGCACTGTCCCTGCAGCGACATGCTGGACTAGAGATACTGACCTCCTTTTCTCACAAGCCTGGGTGAGCTCAACTGAACTCTGACTCACTAAGGATTAAGCCACATAAATGCTTTTATGAGTAGTAACCATTTACTGTGCCCTATAAAAAAGGGGCCCTCGCTATGCTGGCTGCTTTCCCCACGAAAGGGGGTGCCAGCAGGGAGCAGTGCTCATGTATGCCAGCCTCTTGGGAGTGGGGAGGGCAGGTGGTGATGGGGCAGCTGCGACCTTGTAGTCCTCAAGTTTCTTCTCTGGGCTGAGGAGTTCTGGATGCCTCCCGAAGGTTATGGCAAGAAGGGATGTCTGTCCTGAGGAAGGGGGCTTGTGGGCACCAGATCACCAGGGGGAACTGGTCCACATTGTCCTGGACATTCCCCAAATTCTTTTCTACTGCACACTAAGTTCTCTCCATGCATGGCCTCATTGGCGTCCTAGGACTTTGACGGTGGGATTGTTCCCATTTTGCAGGTGGAGAAAGTGAACATTAGAAAGTTTTTGGCTAAAGAGACTTGGAAGCGGCTCAAGGTCATGTACAGTACCCTAACCGGGGGATCCAAAACCAGGGAGCTTAGCCCTTACATCATCTGCCTCCTGGGGTTTTCTTTTGGGAAGTGGTGGCAGATCTGAGCCAACCAAGGAGGTAACTCAGAATTGGCCAGGGCAGGTCTTGCTTCCACCGAAATGGCCTCTTAGAAACAGCCCTGCAGGCAAATCCTTGTGAAATAATAGTTTCAGGGAAGACTTCCCTGCCCATCCCCCCGCGATCCCCCCCCCCCCATTCCCACCCAGCCTGGAGGGCCTATTCCTCCCGGCAGATGGGCTGGGCTCTGAGCTTCAGCCCTTTCAGGGTTAAACAGTAACCTTTTTACTGCTTGTGGTTGAGCAAATTTTGGCGAGGAACAAGCCCAGCCTTGAGCAAACAGGAGACCAGCCATGCCCCTTCCCTTCCCCAGCCACCCCTCTGGGGACTGAGAGGTTTTCTTTCGCCTTCAAGTCCCTCACCTGATTCCTTAGCTTTAGGGCGATTGTTCTAAAAAGTTGGATGGGGAAAGGCCCAGTTATTGTGGAAAAGAGAAAGCCTTCAGTTGGGTTGTTTTTTCCCCTCTCCTTCTCTGAGGGTAAGAATCAAAGAGGTTTCTGTAAGGGAATTTAAAAATCAATTTAGTCGCCCTGGCCAGGGTGGCTCAGTTGGTTGAGCATCATCCTGTGCATGGGAAGGGATCCGGTTCGATGCCCGGTCAGGGCACATGACCCGGTTGTGGGTTCAATCCCTACTCAGGGTGCGTGCAGGAGACAATGGATTGATGTTTCTCTGAGTCTTTTCCTCTCCCTTCCTCTCTCTCTAAAAATCAATAACATACTTTTAAAAAAAACTCAATTTAGTCTCTTTCGTGCCTGGGTCGGAGAGCTGAAACCCATGGCTGTTTCTTGTCCGGGTTACCCGGGTTTTCCAAAAAGGTTGCGTCTCTCCTCCCAGTGACACCTGCTATGGTGCCATGCCCTATGTCCTGCCAAGTGCTTTCGGTGTAGGAACTAATTTAATCTCAAATCAAGGCCCTTTCCACCTTCTACATAGACTGCATTTAGGCCCAATTTTTGCCAAACAACCGTGATGATGATAAAGAACAGACTCAGATCTAGTTACTAGTTAATATCGTCACAAAGAGTCTGTCTAACCTAATTAACTCTTCATCACTGCTCTGTCCCCAGGACCTAAGATGGTGCCCAGCCTATTATAGGGCTGATACATTTTTGTTGAATAAATGAATACATGAATGATTTTGTATTCCTTTTCCAGGCCCCTCCACTCTCCTCTCAGGCCCTCCACAGAAACAAAGGAGCCGTGGCTAAATCAGAGCAAGGGGTTTTGAGGGCTGGGACCACTCTGGGTGCGCACTTTGATTCTGGGGGACACTTAAGGATGCAAGCTTCCTCTTCTCCCCCCCCCACAATCACTCCAAAAAGAAAATGTTCCATGATCTGCGTGTTACCTTCCAGATCCCTGGTAATGGTTAAGCACCTCTGGAACCTGGCTGATCTCTTTTTGAATGACTGAGCGTTCATTCCTATGGGGCTGAGGTCTAAAGGTAGAGGGGGCCTGGCTTGGAGTGAGAACATGACAGAGGCTGGGGAAGTGAAGAAGTTTACGTTGTTTAAAAAACTCAAGCAAGCCCTTGGAAGAAAGGCTCTTCTTACTGAGAAAATGAGCCCTCAGACTGGAAAAGTCACCTTTCGGTCACTTTCGGGGCTTCTGATAGTCTAAGAGGAGAGAGAAAGCTGGTCAGAACTCGTACCAGGGAGGAAGGGGAGGGGCAGTATCTTGTCAGGGAAACCAAGGATTCCGACATTATCGTGTAGCCAGATACTGGGGGAGCTCTAGATGAACTAGGACAGAGGCCCTCTGACCCCTGTCCACCCACGGCGGGTATCTGTGCTGAGGATACCTGCTGGTTGCCCGGGTGAGGGCCTTGCTGGTGGGCTAAGCCTCCCACACAGGTGCCAGGTCTGTGCCTCTACCAGCTTGGGTTTTCATTGTTTGCAATTCCACTTTAAACAAAATCTCCTTGGCATTTTCACTATTGTAAAAAAAAAAAAAAAAAAAAAAAAAAAAAAAAAAAAAAAAAAAAAAGGCTTGGCTTCTGGCCAGACTCGCCCTGTGAGTAGGTATTGCATTTTCCCTTCGCTTCATTCCTGATCAGAGATTATTCATTTATGAATAGGTGGCTGTAAAAACTTGCCTCGTGCATATGAAAACGGAACCTGGAAATTTTTAATTGCCAGTGAGTTTTGGTTTTACTGAAAGGGCCGTGGAAATAGGCTTTGGAGGCAATGGTGGGGAAGGGCACATTCTTTTTTTCCTTTCTTCTTAAGTTAACTCTCTGACCTGTACTCTCAGATGACGTGTGTCCAAGAGGCACTGACTGAATGGGCTGTTTGATAACCTTACAGATCATGATTCTGGAAGGAAGTGGTGTAATGAATCTCAACCCCAGCAACAACCTCCTCCACCAGCAGCCCTCCTGGACCGACAGCTACCCCATGTGCAATGGTAAGGCCCTCCCCCATGTCCCCCCGCCTGGGTTGGGGGGTGGTTTGCTTTGCTTTTTTTACGTTTTCCAACGTAAGGTATGAGAAATGCAGCAGGAGCTGTGAGGAGCCGCTGCAGGGACGGGGAAAACTCTACATGCTGGAGTTCTCGCTGATGCCCACTTGATACCTTTCATGGTTTTCTCCCAAGGTTCAAGGTTCCAGGTGGGCAGCCTGGCAGACAGGGTTGCAGAGGAGAAGGGAAGACCATCTGTTGAAACTTTTAACAGTATTTGGCTTAGGATATCAAGATAGGATAGGAGAGAAAGGCGTGCGTGTGTGTGTGTGTGTGTGTGTGTGTGTGTGTGTGTGTGTGTGTGAGCGTGTGTGGCACGGAAGCAGGAGGAGAGGGTTATAGCAGTGTCATCTTTTTATTTCCTGCTCCAAGGACATACCTTTATCAGGGGAGAAGAGACTTGTCAGGAGACTAGGAGCCCCCCTTGGGTGCTTTGATCTAGAACCTATTGATTAGAAGAGGGAGGGGTGGGTAGTAGGGCTTAGAGAGGGTTTGATGACCAAGCCCGTGGCTTACTGTAGAAACGAAACTGAATGGAGTGGTTGCTGAATCAGGGTCCACACCTCGTGTGAAGGCATTCAGTTTGGGCAGACTGCTTTGTGGCGAGCTGCGGGGCCTTAGGAGCTCGGAGTCTTCTCCGACCCTCGCATTCTGCTGCTGATCTCTATCCCAGAGGTTGCTGCTCCGACTCCCCTAAAAAATGGGAAAGGCCTGTTGTGAGCAGAGTCTGAGAAGGAGTGGGAGGATAATGGACGGATTATACTCTCCAATTGCAGCTGGTCCATGTGCAGCTCCGCCTCTTACTGCGGATCCCTAGCCAAACATGGTTGAAAGCGTGTTTCCCTTGTCTGGTCCCCTGGCCCATCCAGCTGGTGCCTTTTCTGGGCAGTGACATTTTCTGTTGCCGTGGGACCTCCAAGGAGGACTCCAAACAGAGCAGGAAGGGTCTTCAGACCGGACCCTCCATTAAGGCAGCGCTTTTCCTGTTTGCTTAGTTGAAAGCCAGGACCATTTGTTCAGGGGGGAGTAGAATGTAGGTGCTGCTTTTACTTCTTAATTTCCAGAGGCCTCCCAGAAGGCCCAGCTCCTGGTCATGATTGATGGAATGGGGGAAGTTCTTTGAAGATCGAGAAGAGCCGAACTCTTAGGAATCTAAAATCTCAGGAATCTGAGGAGTCCACTGGCCAATTAAGACAATTTCCCAGTCAACTTCCTATAAAAAGCTCTGGTTCTTTCAAGTTCTGACAGGATGCACTGTCAGGAATTATCGTTTCATCTGGGTCATGTGCAGTTGAGAGAAGAAATCACTGCAGGCCAGTTGTTGGGTTGTTGAGAGTGATTGCCCTTGTTTGCACTTCCAGAGATGCCCTGTCATAACAGCACAATTATTTAGAAAAAGAGAACTAAGATTCACGAAACCACCCAAAAATATCCCATCCTATGTATTGTGAGATCCCCAAAATGGAGAGGAAATGAAAACTTCCTATCTAAGCTCCGTGTGTTTATATATTTGGAAATATTTCTATGTAATTTAACTTTGGACTAGATTTTTCCCAAATCCTTGTCCCCATTCCTCTCTACCACTGGCTTCTTCTTCTGGGCCCATGCTGAGAGTGTAGGGCTGCTTTTGTCTGGCCCTGAGGCGTGAGGAGTAAAGTATATACTGTGAGTGGCAGCTATTATTAGGCAGCCACCTTTATGCCTAAATCATCTTGACCTCCTGGTCTTAGTGCTCCTAGAATCTGGAAGTGGGGGATGGATTCTGTAGTGGGATTGGGCTGGAAACATTCCCCCTTCAGCCTCTCCTTGGGAGGTGTTGAGAGCTAGGTCGTGGGCATCACGGGAAATCCAATCTTTAGGGGTTCTTCAGCTTCTTGCAACTCAAACTGTATCTACAGATGATCACCATTACCATCATCATCATCAAGTGGAAGCTTGCAAGGAATGCAGAAGCTCAGGATTCTGTGGAATCAGAATCTGCATTTGAACTACATTCCCTGGTGATTCATATTTACCCCAGGGGTTGAGAAGTACTGATGTATCATGACCTTGAAGCAGAAGTTAGGGACAGTTTTCTCGTGCTATGCATTCTACCCTTGAGATTGTGGGGATATCTGTGTGTCATGTTTGGCTAGATTTCCCCTGCTTCAGCTAGGTGGGCTGCAATAGTATATTCCCCTAGCCCCTCACCTTTCCAGAAGAGAGCTATTCCCTCTAGATCTCTGTTTACAAGGAGACTATAAGATCTCTCAGCCCTGTTACATGCCCCAAGGCTGGCTCTCTCTTGTCCATCCCCCAGGACTTTGGGCTGACAATGTTCTCTTAAGAGAGCATGAGATGGTAGTCATACATCGGTGGTTAGCCTATACTAAACGTAGCAACTTTTGTTGGCTCGAGTGAAATTTGCTTCACTGGTATTTGAATTAACCATCTTGTGAATGCACCTCACAACTCTTTCAGGTTCCCACAATATTTCTTTTCAGCAACAAGTTCCAGTAGAGAAACCTATAGAGAGCACCTAAGATGGCAAGGCCTCTAAGGTGGTTTTCATTGGAGGTACAAAGATGCGTGAGACAGGGCCCATGACCTTGAGCATACAATATACAGAGGAGCATAAGTCACTACCTAGATACTCCTAAAGGAAAGCAGAACATGACAAATGTCATTATGAGAGATACTCAACATGTCTCCTGGAGATTCCGAGGACAGCAGCCCTCACAGTGAATGGGAATCTGTGATGACTTCCCTCATGGGGTGTTCAGAGTTTGAAAGCTGTGTAGGAATTTAACAGGAAGTGATTGGTATAATAGAAACTGGCCTGAAAGAACAACAAAGAAAAAAAGCCAAAGTCACAGGTCACTTAAAGAATCAATAGCTAGTGAAGAACCTCCATGCGTGGCTTGGAAGTTTTGTACCTAATTTCAGTGGATGATGGGAAGTAACCCAAGTTAAGGTAACTGAGTAAGAAAATTACCTCGTCGTAGCTATAATAACCAGTGTGGAACAGGAGTGGATCAAAACAGTTAGTGTATGAGGAATCTGGACCACTTTGGGGAGAAGCAAAGGCATCATAAAGAAAAGAACCTTACTCCCAGGCCTCACTTTTGGCTGACAATGGTCTGAATTTGAGATGTGTATGTGTATGTGTATGTGTGTGTGTGTGTGTGTGTGTAAGAGAGAGTAGAAGATGGGAAGGAGACAGGGGGAAGAAGAGAGAAAGATAACTACATAGGGGTGAGCAATAGCTGATAAGTTGCGGAAACTAGCAATGCTTTCTCTTTCATGGAACCTTGGGGGAAGGTGGGGAATAAACTCAAGATCTCAGAGTATTTCAGGTCTCATGTCCTCATCCAGCTCCCAGGGGTAAGTATTTGATACTGAAGAGGGCATCAAGATGCAGAGAGGCTAAATGAATGGCCCCCATCACAACTAGAGAAAGAACCACACTTCCAAGAGCCTCCTCTCCAGAGCTTGTCTCATCTCCGGCCCCCTCTGGTGCAAAGGGACTGTGATTGTGATCCTCATGGCTTCTGGCAGCCAGTGATGCATACCCCCGTCTGGGATTATGCCCAGGAACAACCACGGATCACTCAGAACCACCCCCTGTTTTGCAGTTTCCAGCGGCTTTTTTGGAGGCCAGTGGCATGAAATCCACCCTCAATATTGGACCAAGTACCAGGTGTGGGAATGGCTTCAGCACCTGCTGGACACCAACCAGCTGGACGCCAGCTGCATCCCTTTCCAGGAGTTCGACATCAATGGCGAGCACCTGTGCAACATGAGTTTGCAGGAGTTCATCCGGGCGGCGGGGACGGCGGGGCAGCTCCTTTACAGCAACTTGCAGCATCTCAAGTGGAATGGTGATTATCTCTCTTTCCATCTCCCTAGGAGTCAGCTGAGAAGAGCAAAGTCCCTGCAGCCAGCAGGAATCCTAGTCAGGGGCATCCAAGGATGGTCTCACCTCCAAATTATTGTTTCCAGGACAGGGAAGTAGAAGGGAGGCAAGAGAATAAGCACAAAGCCTAGGCTGCAAGTAGATCAAGTCCCATACAAGCCTAGGGTAATTTAACTCTCTCCTTATAGCTGATGATCCCGGAGATGTGCTAGCAAGGTATTCACAGAATACTCGCCCCTCTCAGAAAACCTTCTCTTCTTTGCCTTGCAAACAGTGTTTGATAGTTTAATTCCCAATTACTTGCTTGCTAAGGTCATCATGGCTATTTTTTTTGAAACTTACAGACCTAGGTTCTTAAGATGGAACCTAACATGATAAGAAGATAGGCAAAATTAGATCTATGTTTGTGTTTTGAGAGGGAAGGGAAGCAGACTTACAATATTTCAGCAGATTCTTAAAAGTTCTGTTAAGTAACAACAACAAAAAAGGGGAGTTGGAGTTAATGTTCTGGGCACATGTTGAAAGTTTCTGCAGTGATTTCTGGAGTTGGTGCTGCCCTTAGAGCCAAATGTCTTTCTTAAAATATCTATAATATTAAAAGCTATAATAATATGCTAATTAGACTAGACAGCCAGATGTCCTTCAAGACGTCGCCATGGTGGGGGCTGAGGCAGAGGCAGTTAGGGGTGATCAGGAGGTAGGCAAGCTGTTAGGGGTAATCAAGCAGGCAGGCAGAGGAGTTAAGGCAATCAGGCAGGCAGGCAAGTGGTTAGGGGCAAATAGGCAAGCAGGAGAGCAGTTAGGGGTGATCAGGCAGGAAGGCAGGAGAGCGAGCGAGCAGGAGCCTCTAATATATATATTAGAGGCCCAGTACTTGAAATTTGTGCACAAGGGGCAGATATATATATATATATATATATATATATATATATATATATATATATATATAATTTCAGAGAGGAAGGGAGAGGAAGAGAGATAGAAACATTAATGATGAGAGTCATTGTCTGCAGCCTCCTGCACGCCCTGCACTGGGGTTTGAGCCTGCAACCTGGGCATGTGCCCTGACTGGGAATCAAACTGTGACCTCCAGGTTCACAAATTGATGCTCAACCACTGAGCCACTCAGGCCAGGCCAAATGTCTCTCTTTCAAGGTCTCACCTAGCATCCTGCCAGCCACCATTTAAACACTGTGCACTGTGATAGCTTATACACACATGCACACGCGTAGATGACTTGTCTTACAGAATGTCTTTGACACTGGCATAAAGTTGCCCTGATAATGGCAATAAAACAAACAAAACGAAACATGAGCTCCTCTGAGAACAATAGCTATTTTGGAAAGCAGTGATGTATAACCAGAGTGAGCTGGCCTGTCCACATCAGAATGGTCAAGTCTATCTTAGCAGAACCTGGATGTAGGCAGGTAGCTGGGGCTTTGGAAAGCATGAGACCCAGGACTATGTGCCATATTCGGTCCCTGACAGCTGCCATCAACACTGAGCAGGTCCCAGTCTGGGCACAGAGCTGGCTTTGGTGCTGGCCATTTTGGATGACCTCATTCAGCTCCTGGGCATTTCCTTCTCCCCCCCCCTCACCCCCCCACACAGACATGGTTGCACATTTTCCTTTTACTAGAACCAAACCAAACAAGGCTCTATAAATAACCCCCAAGAATCTTCAGAAACAGCAGACTTACACTTAAGGAATTAAAAATATTTACAACCCCACCTCCAATTAAAGCTAATCCTTTAAAGCTTTGCCCTGATTGAAGCCCAAGGCGGGGAGTCCTGGGAGGTGATGTGGCTGTCTTTGACCTTCCATCTCTGACCTTCCATGACTTGTTTGGTCCCATTGGGTGCTGCTGATGCCTCTGGAAGTGGCTAATGACCAGATTTCTCACCTTTGATTGTTGTTTGCCTTTTGGCAGACATTCCATTAATTTATATTTATTAAGTGTTTATGTATCCTAGGCACGCTTAAGTGGGTTGATTCATTTAATGACTTTCTGAGAAAAATAAATATTGTACCCATTTTTACAGATGGGACAACTGAAGTTCAGAGAGGTTAAAGCATGACTCCTGCTCCTGAGATATTTATAATCTGGTTAGGGAGGAAAATCATATGATCCTATATTCAACTGTATATACGTGCTATATATATATATATATATATATATATATATATATATATATATATATATTAATGACACATCCAGAGAGGAGTTGCAAGGCATAAAGAAGGGGAGAATCACTGCATTTACCCAGACATCTCTCATAGTTTGGATCTAATAAGAATATATTTGGTTACCTTTACCATCAAAGACGAATAAAGCCAGTTAAATTAAACTGGTTTTCCTTGTATTTGCGTTTTCATGTCTTGTCATATCTTAGTATGGGAAAGCACCTTAGATACCATCTAGTAATGACTTTATCTAGTTTAATCCCCTAAATTTACAGATGAGGAAAACAAGACCCAGGAAGGCAAAGTGCCTTGCAGTTATTAGTGGAACACTGGTCTTCTGACTTCTGAAGTCCTATTTCCACCAGACTGGATGCCTTCCCTGTACAGGGCCAAATAATTCTCTCCCAATGTGGGTGCCTGAGCTACTGACTTTTCTGTGCCGGGAAGTTCAGGCTTGAGTTTGTTGATCCAGAGGGGGAAGCCCCCTCCCACAAGCAAACAGAGGTGATCAGGCCATCAGGCAGTGGGACTGGCAGAAGCTCTTCCAAGAAGTCAGCTCCATCCTTGTTTAAGTTTTAGCTCCATGTGGGCCCCCTATGACTTTTCCCATTTACCCTTCACAGGCCAGTGCAGCAGTGACCTGTTCCAGTCCACACACAATGTCATTGTCAAGACTGAACAAACGGGTGAGTAGCAGCAAAGAGAGCCAACTTGGTAGGCAAATCCCTGGCGGGGACAATGGGGAGTGAGTGCAAGGGAGTGTGGGAGCAGGAAGGAGCCAGTATTTTGGCAGAAAACCCAGGGACGCCTCTTCCCTGGCTGTCTCCAACGGGCCACCCTCGGTGAGCCTCATACCCTGGGCTTGGGACCGGTGACTGCCAACTATTTCTGATTTCTAGACAGATGATGAGACCAATTCTGCCCACACTTCTCTGCTTCCCACTGCTGGTCAGGGCACCATCAAGGCTCTGCTCCAGGAGCTGGAAAAGTTGCAGAGTCTACATGGGCCTCCTTCTCACCACAGAGTCAGGGCACTTGACCAAGTTGGGAGAAGCAAGGGGAGAGAAGAGGAAGAGTTTTTGCTGTTGTACTTACTGTGGTTTCTAGGGCTCTCAGAGGTTCCGTAGGAATGTCAAAGGCAGCTACCAACTTCTGCTTTATGCGAAATCTTTAGTGAAAGATTTCTCTGGGCTCTGAATGGGGTCTACAGTCCTGTAGTATCTATATTCATTTTTGTTCTCCTTCCCCCATCCCATTCTCTCACCTGGATACTTGCAGGGGGCAATAACTGCCTCAAGAAGTTGTGCCCAGTGGCCTTGCACCAATCAGAGTTCCTTACACGTTGACCTTTGGCCTATGGCCTCTTGGTCTAAGGAGAGCTGTGCAAGTTCCTGACTGTGCAGCTACCACTGCTCCAGGGTTGCTCCCCAGGTCCTCATCAGTGAGGCTGCAAGCCATGAGCACCCACAGGCCTGCCTGAGGGTTGCGTGCCAGTCATTAAGGGGAGAATTGCACCTCAGGGTGATTTGTGAGCCACCCAGAGCCCAAATTGGCCCCATGCAGTTATTTGCTCTTTTATAAGGGGGCTAGTCTACTATTATTAAAGAAAAAAATATAATAGCTGCTAAGTATGTTAATTAGCTTTTCCTCGCCCTGCCTTCCCCCACAGACCAGGGGTTGGGATACCTGGATGGCCTATGCTTTATGGGTCTGCCTGTCATAGAGGCAGGCACAGGGGTTACCAGAGAGATGGTGTGCCCTACCCCCACAGTGACTGGGCAGAGAGCCCCATGTAGCCAGGATGGCATGCAGAGGTCCCGAGTAACTTGATAATTCCTTCTTGACCGTCCAGACATTCTTGTGTTGCCAGTTCAGGAAAGCTAAGCCAAAGGGTGGAGGAGAAGGTCCGCCCAGGGAGGAGGGGAGAAGAGGCTAACAGAGGGGCCAACACCTCCAAACCTTTTGGTTCAGTTTGTTTTCAGAGACAACAACAGGTGTACGAGGTGACCCAACAAGGAGAGAGGGTGTAACCCCAAGAGATTGGGCTTGGAGTGCCCAAACATGTAGCTATTAGTTAAAATACCAGCTAAATCCCTGTGTCGTAAACAAGAGGACTTAGCCAGTGACTCAGGTTTTATACCTTTTATGTTGTAAAAACAAAATGAACTCGGCCAGTGACTTACCACCCGGCCCAGAGATTCAGAAGCTGGGCAGGAGGGGAGCGGAGGACAGCCTTGTCTGTGAAGAGAAGAAAGCAGGAAGTTCCTGGTAGGGACGAGGTGAGAACTTTTTGCCAGATCTTGCAGCTCTTGGCCAGCCAGGAAAGAAAATGCTTCTGTTGGAGACTAGCCCAGATGTGGGGGTTGCGTAGGAGTTGGGCTTCAGTTGGGGTAAGGTAGAGGGGAGTTTCCTTTGAATCTGAAATCTGAAGAGTCAATCAGAGTGAAACATGCTTGCTGAGAGAGAGAGAGAGAGAGAGAGAGAGAGAGAGAGAGAGAGAGAGAGAGACACGCTTTTGCAAAATGAGGCAATGGGGCCCTACTCTTAAAAGTTGTTGGATTTGCCCTAACAGTTTGGCTCAGTGGATAGATCGTCAGCCTGCGGACTGAAGGGTCCCAGGTTTATTCCAGTCAAGGACATGTACTTTGATTGTAGGTACATCCCCAGTGGGGAGTGTGCAAGAGGCAGCTGGTGGATGTTTCTAGCTCTCTACCCCTTTCCCTTTCTCTCTGTAAAAGTCAATAAAATATATATTTTAAAATATATTTTTTAAAAAGAGAGAAAAGCCGGCACCAATTTGGCTCAGTGGTAGAGCGTCGGTCTGCGGACTGAAAGGTCCCGGGTTCGATTCCGGTCAAGGGCATGTACCTTGGTTGCGGGCGCATCCCCAGTAGGGGGTGTGCAAGAGGCAGCTGGTTGATGATTCTCTCTCATCGACGTTTCTAGCTCTCTATCCTTCTCTCTTCCTCTCTATGAAAAATCAATAAAAATATATTTTTAAAAAATAAAAAAATAAAAATTAAAAAAGAGAGAGAAAAAAAAGTTGTTAAATTTGTGTTTTGAGAATTTTACATTGTCCCTTAAGCTAATTGAAGAAATCCTAGAGGGAGGAGAGATCTCTCTGGATTGCAGCAATGAAGACACTATGATGAAACTGACTGGACTCTTTGTTTTTTCTAGTCAGAAACATCTTTAATTCCTCCAGAAATGTTTTACTGGAAAAAGTTGTTCATTAATCCTGAATTTATTTGTCTCGAACAATGTCTTTTTCTAGTGTAAACATATTCTGATCCCTGTGTAGTAGAATGCAAGACAAAGCCAGGCGCCTGAACCCACCCCCTGCCGGGTTCAGTCTGAGAAAATTCCCAGGAACCCCATGCATTGGTCTAGGTCAGAATTTCACTGTTGCAACTTCCCCACAATGCAACAGGTGCAGAACACATGGATAGAGCTATAGCAAAGTCCATTTTCCCAGGACACTGGAAGAAACAGGGAGTAACATTATTATCAAGTAACAGGTGGCTGAAGTAGCATTGTCTCCCTACTCTCTGGAGACCACCCCCTAGCTCCTCTGCCTCCCTGATGAGCCCTGAGTTAGAAAAGGGGAGCTCTTCCCCAGGGATGATGATTGCTGACCATTCCCATTTTCTGTCCTTTGTAGACCCTTCCATCATGAACACCTGGAAAGAAGAAAACTATTTATATGACACCAACTATGGTAGCACAGTAGGTAACTAACACCCCAGCACCGAATGCCCTTTTCCATTCTGATTTTGCCATCCCAATAGCCAAAAAGTTTTGTTGTCAGAGAGGGCTCTCAATGTCCTTTATCTTTTCGTGGCTACAGATTTGTTGGACAGCAAAACCTTCTGCCGAGCCCAGATCTCCATGACAACCACCAGTCACCTTCCTGTAGGTAAGTTGTTTTGACATCAGAGGCTGTGCCTCATGATGTCGCTTACTGAGCGGTAATGAGAATTACCAATGTCCTATGTTTCCACGTTGCTGGAGTCTTTCTGATTAAAAGGCAGGGAAAGGGACAGAGTTACTATTCATAAAAGATCTGCTTTTGAGCCAATGTTTGTCCATTGAATATGCCCAGCACTGGTGCCTCTGGGAAAAGTGTTTGTCTCCTGTGAAATCACGTCACTCTTCTTGTGTGACAAAAACTCTCTTTGCAATAGAAACTGGCTTTTGGGAAACTACCTGATAAAACTATTCCTACTTGAGTATGCTCATGGGGGAAGAAGTTGATTTTGGACAAATTATTTGGCTTTAGAGAAAGAATGTCTAGCGGAGGTCTATAAACCTGTGGCAATGGTCTTTTGGGTAGAGAGGTAGCAACTGAAAATGTTCAGAACCCCAGAAATCACACTCTTTTGCCAGTTCTTGAAGTCTGGCTCATCAGGACTCTCCAGCCACTTTTTGAATTCTGTTCACATTAGTTGTAATTGGTTAAGATTAGATGCACCTGTTGGCTATTCATGATGCCATCAAGGTTACACTGAATGAGAGGGTTGGTCTGCTCAAAGTCTGGGAGAGAGGCTTGCAGGTTATATTCCCCCCTTCTTACAAAGAGCTATCTTGGCATGTACCAGGCTGGAATGCGTGCATTAGGGAGATGAATAGAGGGTTTCATGTTGACCCTCAATCTTGTGGATCTGTCCGGGTCCGTAAAATGGAGCTTAGACTTGTCCCAAGTGAATCATTCTTTTCTTGGAACTGAATTTGGGACAACTTCAGACCTTGGGTTTAAATGAGTGTTTGGGGAAGAAAGCACAGAATCAAACAACAACCCCTCCTCCCTCTTTTTTTTTTCTTCTTCTTTTTCTTTTTTTTTCTTTTGTTGAGTATGTTTTTGAGAACTGAAATAATGAAAGCTTTTGGTTTGGAGTTTTGTACGGGTCAAGCCCCTTGAATGAGACAGGGCTGGGAGCCACTGTAAATGCTTCTGGAATTGAGGTTAGGAACCGAGGCCAATTCATTTCTCTACTTATCTGTGGAAATTAAGAAACAGATTCAACACTGGATTTTCCCTTCTGGGGGAACTGAGCCAATGGAGGCAACAGTTCTGTAGCAATCGCAGCCACCCAGTCCGGAGCAGGGTTTCAGAGCCGAGGGAACCACCCGTCTGCTCCCCCTCTGACTTCCTCTCGCACTTCCTAAGGTGTCACCTCCCACGTCTTTCCGGTTGGGTCTAGTTGGCAAAGGATTCCAACTAGAAGGTGGAACCAACTACTTCCTGAGCCTCGGGGGTTGGTAGGTCCTGAGGCACCTAGGAAACCTAAACGCCATAATCACAGCCCTGATTCCCTCCCCGCCGGGCCTCTCTTCCGTGTCCTGACTTCTGAACCTCAGTCTGTGGGCTCAGAAGCCAGTTCCTGCTTTCAGACTGACAGTGGCAGAAAACTCAGTCTCCTATTTTTTAAAAAAATATATTTTTTAATTGATTTTTTTACAGAGAGGAAGGGAGAGAGATACAAGATAGAAACGTCAATGAGAGTCATCGATCAGCTGCCTCTTGCATGTCCCCTACTGGGGATGTGCCCGCAACCAAAGTACATGCCCTTGACCTGAATCGAACTCAGGACCTTTCCGTCCACAGGCTGACACTCTATCCACTGAGCCAAACCGGTTTCGGCCAGTCTCCTAATTTTGAAAAGGCCTTCTTTAAATGGGCTTTCCATGTTTCTCTCTCATTGATGTTTCTAACTCGCTCTCTCTCTTCCTCTCTGTAAGAAATCAATAAAAAATATATTTAAAAATAATAACAAAAAATAAAGAAAGAACCCACTGAGTGTCAGGGGTTGCCACATTCTTTGGCATAACAGCCCTCCAGTAGGATATTTGATTACCCATTTCTTTCATATAGTTTAGTGTCTCTTGGGTGGGCCCAGAAGGAAAAAAAGACCTTTGTCGTTTGTCTGAGTCTTTATCTTTCCTGCTCCCATTAGACTGAATGCAGTTAAGTACCTTTCTATGTTTTAATGCAAGTTACCAGCGGAGCGAAGGTGAGGCCCGGTAAACTGATGCCCTCAGTGATAAAGGCGGGCGGGGCAGCGGGCTCTGTTTTGATTTCCCTGCCATCTGCCCATTCCATAAAATGGCTGCCGCCAGGGTTCCTGATCTGCCCGATAGTCCCCGAGCCAATCACGCCAACTCGGGCCTGATGTGTTTATTCACCGACTTGCTGAGCCCAGAGCTAGGGTGGCGCGGTCTATTATAACACTGAAATTTGTATATCCCGTAAAGAAATGGCTCACCGCTGAATCATATGCAAATGCTCCTAATCTTCGCTTCTTGCGAAGCAGCTTAGCTGAAGTCACCCTCTGGCTCTTGCATCAGGCACCCGGGCCTTCGTGCTGCCCTTGCCCTGGCCGGACCTTGGCCTTGAGAGGCCTGGGCGCCCAGCGAGAGAAAGCCAAGCTGGACCACTTCCCCGGAGCGAGTCCTCCTTTTATAAGCATGAGTCACCTAACCACATGGCTGCCTTCAAAGGTTTTGACTTTTATTGGGGGGGGGGTTTGAGGGGCATATGGAAAATGAGAGGCCATCATATTAAAGGGAGGTTCATTCAGATCAAAAGATTGGAGTGTGAAGGCAGCTCAGGGGTTCCACAGCTTGCCCTCACACGAGGGACAAGGAGGCTGGAGGAATCAGGGTTTCCTTTAGCTTTTGGCTGCATCCTCCTCCGTGTGATGATGGAAACATTTGTATGGGGGAATCATTTTTATTTGGTCTCTGCCAAACTGAACGGAGGTCTAGCTTAGAGGTAAATGGGTGACATCTCAGAGAGAAAATTCCCTCATGGTCTATCTGGTCTGGGGTTTTTTAATGTTGGAGTCCGTGGACTTGGACGTGAGACACAAGCCCCTGAGATTCTGGGGAGAAGAGTTTAAGATTTCCATCTTATTCATCAAGTCACCTTAACCCCAAAGTATAATAATTGATTCAACACCAGCGTGGAACCCACATGCAATGATTGGGACCAAAAAACTGGGAGACTTTTTTTTTTTCTTTTTTCTTTTTTTTTTTCTGAATTCAACCCTGGCTTTGAAATAAAGGCCCTGCCATTTGAAGACGAGCTTTGCTTGTGGCCTGCTGGGTAAATGCCACTCTTTGTCTGAAGAACAACGTGGCCCTGTCAGGGTGATGTATCACTTGGAAACCGGGGTGAGCGCCAGACCTGTTGCAATATTGTCACATCCTGATGGGATGTTGCAACCTCACCCTGAAACCTGCGGGGAGGGAGAGTGAAGTCTCCTTGCGTTTCCTGTGAATTTGTCCTTCTGGATTTCAGAGAAACCCAAAGCAGGTGCGGGTCTCTGGCTGACAAAGCCGGGGGAGGAATTCTTCACCAGAACAAGAGGTTCCTTATCTAACCAGATCTTATTAAATCCCTCTCCTCCACCTTGCCAGGGCTCTCAGGAAAACTGCTGGGAGCCCGAGATCTGGCAGGCTGGGTGATCAAAGAGGCAAACGTGTCTGTGCGATACGGAATCTTCAACTTGGACTTACGTTTTCCCACTAACTATATCATGATTAGAGAGCTGGCCCTGATTCTCGGCAGGGAAGACTCGTCAAATCTGTTATGTGCCAGCAGCTCAAGAAATGGCAGAGACTAGTGGTTATAGTAAAGGCTCTGGGTTCAAACCGACTGTGCTAGCATCTTGGCACCTCTCAGGCTGTGTGACTTTAGACAAGTCATTTGACCTCTCTGTGTCTCAGCTCCTCCATCACTGTAAACATTGGGTCTTAACAGTACCTACCTCATAGGGTTATTGTGTGAATGAAATAGAGTCCTGTAACACGCCTAGCTCCGTGCCTCGTACATAGTAAGTGCTCAATAACAGCAGCTATTCTTCTTATCTACTTAAAATAGGAGTGCGTGGGCCCTAACCGGTTTGGCTCAGTGGCTAGAGCATCTGCCTGTGAACTGAAAGGTCCCAGGTTCGATTCCGGTCAAGGGCATGTACCTTGGTTGTGGGCACATCTGCAGTAGGAGGTGTGCAGGAAGCAGTTGATTGGTATTTCTCTCTCATCAATGTTTCTGACTCTCTATCCTTCTCCCTTTCTCTCTGTAAAAAATCAATAACATATATTAAAAAAAAATAGGAGCGAGTGGTTATTCAAACTTTTTTTGAATAATGGACCACTCTTGACAATTGAATGAATGCTTCAGACCTTCTCCACTCTGAAATGTCCTTGAAGGCCACACCTAGGTTAGTGAAGCCTAGGTTAGGAAGTCCCAATGTAACACACACAGAAGCGATGCATTTTGCTAATCCAGTTTCTTAACAAAGCTGGCTTGCATTTAGGGAGTACTCTGTATTCAAATGGGTGGATTTTTGATTGTGTGATTTGTATGTGTGTGTTAAGATCTGCCTTGGACATCCGAAGGGCCCACTGACACACACACACACACACACACACACACACACACACAGCTAGATCATTTATTTTTCTTTTCAAGAAGTTTTATTCCGCCTCTGTCATCTCCTCGCTGGTGATAGTCACAGGGTTACCATAATGAGTCATTTGTTAAACTAATCTGTGTTTCCATAGCCCGGGTGGCCCTCAGTACTGAGCTCAGGCCAGTCAATGGCCTCTTTGTCAGGCTGATTAAAATGTAAACTTGCATGCCAAAAAAAGGCACACCTTTGGCTTAAAAGCCATCTTTCTTTGTTATAAATGTTTACATTTTTTGTATCATGAAAAACAAAAACCCTTTCAATGACCTAAATCCTTCATTGGATGTGCATATCTCTCAGAATAAAGGCCAAAATCCCACAAATCCTTAATGGTTTGAACCTCCTTCCCTCTGCCCCTTGCTCACTGGCTTCCTGCTGCTCTGTGGACATAACAAACTCACACTGACCCCAGGGCCTTTGCATGTACTATTCTCATTCTTGGAAGACTCTTGCACTAGCTCTCTGCATGGCTGTCTGCCTCACACCCTTCTGGTCTCTTCTGTAACCACTACCTTATCTTAAATTGCCAATTAGTCTCATCTCCACACTTCTATCCTCAGTTCTTACCCCGCAATATTTTTCTCCAGAGCACTTATCCTCTCTGTTGTGTATTGGAAATGTGCCAGGCATGCAGTAGGTACTCAGTAAATATTGGTTATGTGGGTATATGAAGAAATGAAAATGTCAGTTGAAGAGGTAAATTCAACCACTCTCGTTTCTCTCTCTAGCAGAGTCACCTGATGTAAAGAAGGAGCAAGACCACCCTGTCAAGTCCCACACCAAAAAGCACAGTAAGTTGGCTGGCTCTCAGATGGCACTTAGCCCGTCCTTCAACTTGGGTGTAATTGGAGGCCACTAGTTCCTAGAGAAATATTGCCTCTGCCTGCTGCCTCCAATTCTTCACCTCAGACTGGGGAGGGTGAGAAAATAGAAGCAATCCTTTCTGGCAGAGTAACCCCCTGAAGTGGAGCCCCAATGAATATATGAGCTCATTCTGCTCTTTGTTCTATAGAAACTGAGATTTCCTGTAGGTGAGGGGTTAGCAGGTTCCCTTTCTCCAGAAAAAAAAAAAAAAAAGAGGGTGGGAGGAGGAGAAAGATGAGGAGAAGCAGCTGAGATGCAGTATTATTTGTTTTTGCTGAAGGTTGGCTTCCTAACTTCGTGGACTTGTTGCAAAAAATGACCTTATTTTTAAGATTCAACCGTGCTCCTTGGGAGTTGTATTTCTCCCAATAATAAAACCTTATGGAGTGAATGAAATATCAGAGATAAGGTGTGTGTGTTGAAGGGGAGGCGAGTTGTGCAGAAATAAATGAGATGGTATAATCTAGAAATTACAGGGAATTGGCCATCTTCCTTATCTGCTACTCCACGTCATCCCACAGAGCAGTAGGAACACTCAAACTGGTGGGCATGGGTGGGTTTGTGTGTCACAAGTCTACAGGGGGATATCATTGAATTCGCTATTCTTATTACAGTTACCCCTTCATTTTCAAATTGACTCCCTGAACCCCAGGGAGACCTCACCCCCATCTATTCTAGGAGTCACAATCCTAGAACCCAATCCGTGTGCACAGTTGCTGGGTGGGAGTGACTTAATTGATGAAGTACTTGCTAAATAAAAGTGGTTTGAAGTTGCCTTCTGGGGAAGTAACAAGTTGAAATGAATCCCAGAACAGTTGTCAACAATACTTAGAAGATATGCTAAAGGACACCTAACACCTATTATTTCCTCTTGATTTTGCCACTAGTTAACTATGGAACTGTGATGATCAAGTCACTTAAATTCTGTGTCTCAGTTTCCTGTTTCGCAAACTAAAACCAAAACAAACTGTGCCAGTTCATTGTCAAACATCTTTTTAATATGCACAATATTCTGTGATCTGGCTTCAAGGGTGGATAGGGGGAGAATTGAGGAACTCCCGTCTGATGGAAGATGTTCCAACTCAGTGCTTGCTTGTCGCCTGGTTCAGTCATCACTAAACTCCCCTTTCTGCTTCTCAGACCCGCGAGGGACTCACTTATGGGAATTCATCCGGGACATCCTCCTCAATCCAGACAAGAACCCAGGGTTAATCAAGTGGGAGGACAGGTCAGAGGGCATCTTCAGGTTCTTGAAGTCGGAGGCAGTGGCTCAGCTGTGGGGCAAAAAGAAGAACAACAGCAGCATGACCTACGAGAAGCTCAGCCGGGCCATGAGGTGAGGAGTTGCTGGTCTCTGAGACCAGACGGCCGCACAACCACTTACTGCCAGTAGTGCCCGGCAGGCTCTGTCTGAGCAGCCACCTTACCAATGTCCTCTGTTACAGATATTACTACAAAAGAGAAATCCTGGAGCGGGTGGACGGACGGAGACTGGTGTATAAATTTGGGAAGAACGCACGTGGATGGAGAGAAAATGAAAACTGACCCTCGAAACACAACCCAAAACAGAAAACAGACCCCATATCCTAGCAAGCTGGGAACTCCTGGATGTAAATATGTCCAAGACGACTTTTCTCTGCTATTTATGTACCATGAGGGAGAGAGGGAGGAAAAAAAAAATCGACTTCTAACGGGAAGAAGGAACACTACAGTTGATAAACTCATTTTGTTACTTTGAAGTACATCCTGTATGGGGAGCCAACATACAGTTTCCTGTGAATTATGACGCTGTATGTGGTTGTGATTGGTGTTTGCCTTTATTGTGAAGTTCATGTCCACTTGCAAGAAGAATGGGTCTGTGGCCTTCATGCTTCTTGCCGAGAGAAAGGGGGGAAATTGGAGGGCATTAAACATGTTTATATGCAAGCAATTTAGGAAAAGGTGGCGTGTGTCCTTCGCACCTAAGCAACTACATGGCCTCATTAAGAGAGGTGGGTGTGGTCACAAGGATGAACTCCATCCGGGGTCTCCTATTGACGGCACGAACCGGAGGCACCTGGGAAGTTTCACCTGACCCTTAGGAGCCACTGCGTGGAGAATGAGGACTTCCAAGAACCCAGGTGGACTGTAATCTCTGCATAATCACGTGACTTGCAATCTGTAAACTAGCCAGAAGAATAAGGGTGGGGGCTTTTTTCTCACTCAGAAATGATTCTGATGCCAAGGCTATCTTCCTCCTTTCCCCTTGGATGTGGTGGAGAAAAAAACTTCAATTACCACTTCTAGTTACTAAAGAAAAGGCCCAGTCTTGGTTTTTTTTATCCCAATTGCTGAAAAACTAAATGGGAAAAAGGAGGTGGCAATGAGCTTGCTCTTGTATTCCTAGAGTCTATGGTTTCTCAATGAACACAGTTGTCATTTTGGCTGAATAATTCTTTGTTGTGCATTATAGAATGTGTGGCAGTGTACATGATCTCTACCCTCTAGAGGCCAGTAGCATCTCCGTCTCTGAAGTTGTGACAACCAAAAATGTCTTCAGATGTTTTCAAATGCCCCCCCCCCCAGAGCAAGGTGGGGGTGTGGGGGCGCACAAGCAAAACTGTACTTGAGAACCACCAATTTAGCCAGTCAAGATGACGATGGTGACTTATTCTCAGAAGAGTAAGATATGTAAGATCTTTTAGTCTTTAAGGAGAAGCAGAAGCAAGATTCAAAGCCCAGCTTCTTTTTAATTTTTAAAATATTAAGGAACATGGGCTTATGGTAAGTAACTAGAGAACTCCAGATGAGAGCCAGAGTCAGATACATTGAACAAGGTAATGTAATAAGAATGAAAAGAAGACATTTTCTCTGGAATCACAAAACAGACTAAAAATTATATTGTAGAAAGAAATGCTGAGAGAAAATGTGTGTGTGTGTGTGTGTGTGTGTGTGTGTGTGTGTGTGTGTGTGTGAAAGAGACGGGGGGGAGAGAGAGTGTGTGTGTGTGTGTTCCAGGGGAAAACTGCTTTGCAGATATTAATTCTTATAGTCTTTCCTCTTTAGAATCATTTTTTGTGTGTGTCTCATATGAAATCATCCCAAAGTGAACGAAGTATTGTGCAGATTTGCAACCAGAGGAAAGTTAAAAAATATATAGACATAGAAATGAAAGGATGAAAGAGAAAAGCAGAAAAGAGCCTAGGCGCGATGGTCAGGAAGGAGCTGGAGACTCCAATGGTGGGGTTGTTGGGGGGGGGGGGGTACCTGGAGACTTATCACTGGGTCTTGTAACCTGGGAGGACTGTGAGCCTATAGACACTTTGCAAATGGATTTGAACATCCACCCTTTTGCAACTTTTCTTTTTGGCTCCCCATGTCCTTGGCTTTCTCCTCCCTCCTGCCTCTCTTGAGCAATACCATGGGGCTGAAGACATGGACCAATAAAAGGGAGTGCTCTTCATCAACTGATGGATCGCCTGCCACTGTGTCTTAGCCAGCAGAGGTGAGCAATGCTTAGTCAGAGATTGCAAAGTCTTTGTAATGCATCTAGAAGGCTACAAGTAAGAACTCACCATTTGTCTTCCTTATAATGACAACCATTATGAATGGTGACCTTGGCACACCAGGATGGTGAGACGAATGACCTTTTGAAGGTACAACCAAGTCCATTTTTGTTTCTGCCTGGCTTGGTCACCTCCACAAAGGTGTGACTTAGTGTTGTCAAGTAGTAGTTACTGAGGGAACCGAGAGAAATAACACTGAGCAGCCCAGCTCCGACACTTTCCGGTAAAAGGCACACCTTCTTTTCCAAGCCAGGCTAAGAACCATAAGGCCTTCCCAGCATCTGACCCTACTCCACATAGAATGAGTTAAACATCCAGATATTTGAATTGGTGTCAACACGTGACTGTGTGAGTGTCCGTGTGCATCCAAATTGTGTGAAGAGATTAGGGGCACCTGCTAATTCTCTCTCTGCTATTCCTTCCTTGGCTTGGCTTATTTGTCACTTGAGACGGCTAGGTTTTTCTCTGAGTTTGCCTTTCCCCTGTAAGTTTCTTACATTTCTCCAAACTGGCTCTTTCTGCACCTCCTCCGTGGAAGAGCTATCTTTGCTAGGTAGTAAGCAAGGCCGGGGAGTACTGACTGGAACAGTTGTGCAGATAATTAGCAAATGGTGTTATTTCTTGAGAGTGACGGTTTCTTGGCACCCAGTTCCTACTTAAATACGCTGGAGTATTAAGTTCTCAGATTATCTCGCTATTGTCTTGGCTTGAGTTTGCTGCATTTTCTCTGTGCTGTTCGTGACTTGGAGAACTCAAGGTAATTAAGCCATGCCAACTTGGGGTGTGAACAGAATACTTCCCACCACAGTGTTGAAAGGGAGGGTAAAATCCCAGAGATAAACCAGCATCAGGTGAAGCAACCCCTTCTTTTGGGGAGACACACAGCTTCTCCCTTGAGAAGCTTGTCTGTGCTGGGTGCTCACATGGTCTTGAACCTTCCTTAAGCTAAAGACTTAGGCTCTTATATGTAGTTTTCATGGGAACCCGAGGCAGGAAATGTATTGCTAAGACTTTACCAGACTCAGGTTATCCATGGTGCCTAGTTATTCGACTTGATGAAACTTGAGTACGGCTCTGGTTCCCAGGGCCATACCTACAGCTTCTTGAACTTGCCTTCTGAGCCAGGCAGACCCAGGTTATGAGTTTTCCTTTAGACAAGCTAGTCCTTTCTCAAAGTGTTTGCCTTTCTAGACTGTAAGCTCTTTGTGGGCAGGGACTACATCTTATCAATACCCGCCTCCTCACCCCATCCCCCTGTGCCTCCCATGAGATAGGTGCTCAATACATATTTGTTGAGTTAATAAATGAATGTCTTCTGAAAGACTCCTTGAATTGGGAGGCCAGACCCAGAATTGGGATGTGAATCATTTCTTCACCAAAATAAGAGCTCAAAGGCCGTAACATCAAGGACATGTGACCTATTAGATGAACATTTTATTATGAGACTCCTGACTTTGCCTTCTAACCATCACTGAAATGAAACCAAAACAAGCCGCTTGCTCCCGAAAGTCATGAGACTTGGATGAGACTTCTGTTGCTTTATTAGGAACTGTGAGATTTGTCTGGTATAAGAAACCAGGAATGTGCCTTTGACCTGTTTTAACTGATGAAGATTATGAATGTGTTTATATGATGTAAATTGCTATTTAAGTGTAAAGCAGTTCTAAGTTTTAGTATTTGGGGATTGGTTTATATATGTATTTTTTTTCTTTTTGAAAAGTATGGAGGGATCTTTTGATAAGGTGAGTCATGCATGTTAGATTTTAGTTTTGCAAGTGTGTTTTCCAAATGTATAAAAAATAGGAAAAATAGTAAGAGGGAAAGAAATTATATTATTCTTCTGTAGTTAAAAAAAAAAAAACAACCACATTTGTTGAGTGCCTACTATATACAGTGCAAGAAACCAAGTCCATGAAGAGTTTATCTAATTCTATGGGGTGGCATAGACACTCCATATGAACCTAATGGGTGATGAGCACGTACTGTCTTAAAGGAAAAGCAACCTGACAGTCACAATATCAGAGTTGAATTAGCCTCAGTGTTGGTTCTCAGGATCCCATTTCTGCAGTAAGAGATACAGCATTTAATAAAAACCCATTCAAGCTGTGCCTTATGAACCACTGAAATGTATAAGCCATCACAAACTTAGCTAAATTGGGATTAATCTTTTCATAGCTATCTGCACAAATCTCGCTTTTCTTTCCATCTGATTTCTGGGTAGACAATTTGTAGGAAATGACCCTATTGCAACTATTTTTTAAAGATTAGAAATCTCACCCTTTAAACTATGTTAAATTCAAATGGAGTACTCCTCTTCTATGAAAGAATTATATTTTTCAAAATACGTTTGTTGTTGTTTTTTGTTTGTTTGTTTGTTTTCTGGGTCCCAGAAAGCACTAATAAAAGCCACATAGACCATCTTGTAACTGTGTGTTCCGTGCTTCCACAAGCCATCCACAGCTGGGCTTAGAGGAAATGCATGTAGTCTATGGCAACAAAACCTAGGCAGTTCCCACATTTATTTATATAGTAAGCGTTTATTGAGCATCCACTCTGCCAGGCACTGTCCTAGGCACTGAGTTATGGCAGAGAATGAGAGACAAAACACACTGCTCTCATGACGTTTATGTTCTGTCAAATGGAAACGGGCAAGAAACAAAGCACTAATGGACAAAACAGAGCAAGACTGATGTGGGGTCAAGAAAGGAAGAGCAAGGAAGAGAAGAGTGCCAGAGTATGTAGGACTATATTGCAAGTGTAGGCAGGGTTAAGAATGAAACATTCCAGTAAAGATCTGAAGAATATAAGGGAAGGAGCCATGATGATAATTGGGGAAATGATTCTTTATTAAAGGGACCAACCAAGTGCAAAGGTCCTGAGGTAAGTGTGTTTCTAACATATCCAAGGAACAGCAAGAAAATGTGTTTATCAGAGTAGATAGATTAAGCAATAGAAGGAAATAGTGTAAAAGAGGCCCCAGTTGACCAGATCATGTAGAAC